TTGGTACAGCTGCATGCTGCAATGCGAGTCTCGGAGATGATGTGTACGGATACGGGATGTGAGGTGTATTGTTGTGACCATTGAATATTCGGGATCGTCACAAATTGTGCGTACCTGTTCGGCATTGGATCAGTTCTGTGGGGGATCATAATTCAAATTGTATGTGTTGTGATGGTGTTAAATTGCGATGGTGACATGCTGCCAGGGATTTGGAATTGTGGTGCTGGCTGTCACTTATCTTGGGGCGCAGATCCTGACCAGGATGGCCCAGTGAGTGTTGCGTGTCTAACATGAATGTTGTGGTCCCGTCATGCAATGGCTGACGGCTTGACCTGACAGCCCGGAGATTAAAAAACTCCGTGGTATGTCTAGCCTAGTGGGCTGTGCGCTCACAGGGCTCGGAGAGTGTGGTCCCGTCATGCAATGGCTGACGGCTTGACCTGACAGCCCGGAGATTGAAACACTCCGTGGTATGTCTAGCCTAGTGGGCTGTGTGCTCACATGGCTCAGGGAGGGTGGTCCCGTCATGCAATGGCTGACGGCTTGACCTGACAGCCCGGAGATTGAAACACTCCGTGGTATGTCTAGCCTAGTGGGCTGTGTGCTCACATGGCTCGGAGTGTGTGGTCCCGTCATGCAATGGCTGACGGCTTGACCTGACAACCCAGAGATGGAGACACTCTGTGGCTTGTCTAGCCTTGTGGGCTGTGCGCTCACATGGCTCAGGGAGGGTGGTCCCGTCATGCTATGGCTGACGGCTTGACCTGACGGCTCGGAGGTTGAGACCCTCTGAGGCGCGTTGAAACAGTGGGCTGGAGATTCGTAAGGTTCGGGTGGAGTTGGCCTGTTACGTTGAGACTGTTTCCCTCAGTTGTTAGGGTGCATGTTGTGCAGTGAGTGAACGATGGGTCGTCTCAGCTCGGTCGGTACAGCTATATGCTGCGATGCGAGTCTGGGAGAGAGACTGGGTCGTCTCAGCTCGGTCGGTACAGCTATATGCTGCGATGCGAGTCTTGGAGAGAGACTGGGTTAAAATCCCACCGATATGGCCGACGTGTGCTACTGGTTGTGACGCCGCGTCGGAAAGGCGGTGGGGTGGTAACATGGAAATTCCCCCCCCGATATGGCCGACGCGTGCTACTGGTTGTGACGCCACGTCGGAAAGGCGGGGGGGTGCTAACGGGTGACTGTCATTGCATGCGTGATTCTAACGGGGGGGGGGGGGGGGCTGTGCTGTAGCGTAAGTGGGTTAGCCAGTTTTCATGTATATTTGTTGTTAATTCCCCGTTTTCTATGCGGTTCACATTTACCCTCGTCGATTCTGTATATATTACGTGATTGTATTTCTTATCGGTCGCCGGTCATTTATTGATGTTGCTGGTTCGGAGGCACACCTTTTCGATGTTGCACAGTTGTGTTACAGCCGGGGACGGCTGTGTGTTTATACAGGGGGGGTGATGTAGTGACAGAACGGTCACTACTGTGTCGGCCCGTACGAGGGCTGGGGGCCCCAAAGGGGGTGCCTGGGGGGTCACGTGGTGAAAGGATCCGGACCTTCCCAGAGGTGGGGGAAGGGAGGCGTGGCCTGGGAAGTGAGGCGTGGCCTGGGGAGTGAGGCGTGGCCGGGGAAGGGAGGCGTGGCCTGGGCGGAGCCGGCCACGCCAGAGAGACGAGATATAAGCGTGGTGTGAACGGAGAGCAGGGCTGTTCCTGAGAAGAATGAAGACACCTCGTGAAGATGCCAGAAGAGAAGACCTACAGTGAGCGGACTGCCAGCAACCACCTGGCTGGGTCACGCTGGAGCGGATAAAATACAATTATGTGTTAGCTAGTGTAGGTCGGTGGTCACCACCCTATGTGTAGAGTAAGAGTAACTGTTGAGTAAACGTTGTGTTAATTAATAAATGAGTGTTGCCTCCCAAGAAGTGTGTGCGCCTAAATTGAACCCATTACACAACTGTGATCCATTTCTTGATGCCGGTATTCATTTAGCTTCATGTCTGTGCTAGTTATTTTGTTTGTTTTGTTAACATCGGTGTGCAATTAGTGCTGGGATTTAGTGTGTCTTATTTCACAATCGGTTTTACTGCAGGTGGCTAGGAGATGTTAACTCTCTCGCCTGGTATACAGGAGGTCGTGGGTTCGATCCCGACCCTGCTGTATAGTTGCGTGTTCTCCCCGTGGTCGTATGGATTTTTCTTCGGATCCTCTGGTTTTCCCTCCACATTTAGAATCAAAATGCGTTTAGAATATTTGACTGCTATACATTTCCACGTGATAAGCCACTTTGTTCAGCTTTCATTTGTGATAACCAGATCGCTTCTGAAAATGAGCTACATCGCTCAGTGGGCCATACCTGGTAAAATAATAACAACATTTTTTTAATAGTCTATTTTAACGTGTGGCAGCTCAGTGGTTATCGTCAGTGGCGAGTGATGCCTCAACTGCACCAACCCCAACTGATGAGCACGGCAAAGTTACGGCTCACAAACCAAACCGTGACAGCCATCGCGGGCGTAACGGAGGCGTGCTTGGGGCTCATTGCTGACAGTGGCTTGACAAAGGGTTGCAAGAAAATTTAATATTAAAAACACTCTTTAATGAAATGTACCGTACGAGTAATGGCAGAACTCCACGACTCCAGGAAGTGGCCCCGAAGCTTGCCATAACGTATGGGACCGTGGTGATTTACAGCCAACGTTAGTTGAGCGTAGACAATTAGACCCAAGCCGAAACATAACATATAAAAAAGATTGCTTAAAATATATATATAATTTTTTTATGATAGAATATAGTATTGTCCTCAGTATGACATAAGTATACCAAGTTTTCAATCAATACCACATTGGGAAGTGGGTTAAAATTGAGTTACAATATTTGAGGATACGACAACAACAACGACAACAACAGACAGAGTGCGTTAAATAAAAGCGTGTAAAAAAATGACTTCGACTTGCCGCGTGCCGCTTCCCGCACGGCGTCCGCTCGTGGAGAGAGACAGCGACGACTCAAGAGGCGCGAGGAGGAACCACGCCGTGAATGTGCCCAAGCTCTGCAGTCCTCTATGAATGAACATGCGTTTCAGCTCATTCAAGAGTGGAGCAGCAGCAGGAGGCTGAGGAGGTAGAAGAGGTTGAGGAGGTGGTGGACGTTGAGTAGCAGCAGGAGGTTGAGGTGGACGAGGTTGGGGATGTGGTGGAGGAGGAAGTTTAGGAGGTGGTGGAGGTTGAGGAGGAACAGCAACACCGGAGCACCCGAGCCATGTGTACGATGGGGCCCAACACTCGATCTCACACAGAAGGCACAAATGTTCTTAGTCCATACCCATTTTTTTTGTGGGGTTTTGGGTGTTAACGTTGGTGGTATTTTTGGTCGTGGCTGTACCCAGAGTTATATTTGTGGGCTTTGTTTTTATGTTTTCAGAATCAGAATCTGTGTTCGGCCTCGAGAAATTCGATGAGTTATGAAGCTCTTTGTCCCAGATGTCCAGGGGGCGCGAGTCAGAAAGTTACAACACAACACAAAGTATAGGAATGGTAAGCACGTCGCTAAAAAAAACATATATCATCATAGGGGCCGTCCATAAATGACGTCACGCACCTAGGGGGGGGGGTCAAACATTTGTGACGATGTGTGACGAGGGGGGGGGGGGTTGAGAAATGTGACGTCACATCAAAATGCGCAACTTTAAATATAGACAACACGTTCTACTTAATTAAATAGACTTTTTAATAAATGTTTTCTCCTACAACATCAGAGTGCAGCGCCACATTAAATACGCACTACAATGACAATAGTTTAAAGCGATTTGAAGCATGTTTTATTTTAGGGGGGGGCAGAGCTTTGTGACGTCATATTTAAGGGGGGGGGGTCTGACTTTTTGTGACGTCGTGGGACGAGGGGGGAGGGGGATAAAAAAATCGTCCAAAATCGCGTGACGTCATTTATGGACGGCCCCATACAATTTACAGGGAAATTGAGCAATTTTTTTGTCTACTTGTTTGTGTTTCTCCCTTGCGATGTGACTTTGTAGGATGAACGTCGAGATCTATAAGGGACACGGGGTGACCAATGTCTGAATTGGTCTGTGATAAGTTCGGGTTGACAGGCACGCTTTATATTCGTGAACATTTAGTTGTTATGGGTGCCGCGTGCACGTGCCACTACACATCATCGCCTCCCAACGACGCTTGAGGCTTGGACACAACTCGTGACGGCTGCCAACCACTTGGACCGCGGCCCCTAACGCTGTTTCAATGCAGCGAGCCGGTCACGTTAATTCACCACGGTCCCTTGAACGGCGGCGCGTCCTGCGCAGAGGATTCGCCGCGGTCTCCGATGCTGTTTTCCATCTGGCTCTGTCGATGATTTACCGCGGTCCCTCAGTCTGTTACCACGGTAACTACAGTACCGTACCGATTATTTGCCGCGGTCCCTAAGTCTGTTACCACGGTAACTGCAGTACTGTACAGATTTATCACGGTCCCAAAGTCTGTTACCACGGTAACTACGGTACCGTACAGATGATTTACCGCGGTCCCTAAGTCTGTTACCACGGTAACTACAGTACCGTACAGATGATTTACCACGGTCCCCGAACGGCGGTTACCCCTGGCAATATCTATTATTGTCCGTGGTCCCTAAGGCTGTTACCATAGTAACCGTGTGTCGGATTCACCGCGGTCCCTGGGCCGTGGACTCCGCGATGCTGGCAGCGTGATTCGCGGCTCTCTCCTGCACCTCCTCAACCTCCTGCTCCTCCTCAACCTCGTCCACCTCCTCAACTTCCTCCACCACCTCCACCTCGTCCACCTGCTGCTGCTCCTCAACCTCCACCACCTCCCCAACATCTTCCACCACCTCAACCTCCTCAACCTCCACCACCACCACCTCCTGCTGCAGCTGCTGCTGCCGTGAGCGAGAGGGGCCGCGTGTGAGATTGAGGGGAGAGAGTTGTTGAGTGCATGGGGGGGGGGGGGGGGCTGAGTGAGTGCTTGGGGGAGACGGCGAGAGTGAGAGAGAGCGGTGCGTCAGGGCACGAGGAGGGAGCGTGCACCTAGCCTGGCACCAGCGCCGTGCTGACGTCACTGTGGTGAACGCCGGTTGTTGTTGTTGGGCGCGTGGGTGAGAAGAAGGGATGTGAGAGAGAGGGGTCATGAGAGAGTTAGTGTGAGAGTGTTAGTGTGAGAGTGTAAGGTCATGAGAGAGTGTTAGTGAGTGTGAGAGAGTGTTAGTGAGTGTGTGAGAGAGAGAGGTCATGAAAGAGTGTTAGTGAGTGTGAGAGTGTTAGTGAGTGTGAGAGAGGGGTCATGAGAGAGTGTTAGTGAGAGTGTTAGTGAGTGCGAGAGAGTGTTAGTGAGTGTGAGAGAGTGTTAGTGAGTGTGAGAGAGTGTTAGTGAGTGTGTGAGAGAGAGAGGTCATGAAAGAGTGTTAGTGAGTGTGAGAGTGTTAGTGAGTGTGAGAGAGGGGTCATGAGAGAGTGTTAGTGAGAGTGTTAGTGAGTGCGAGAGAGTGTTAGTGAGTGTGAGAGAGTGTTAGTGAGTGCGAGAGAGTGTTAGTGAGTGTGAGAGAGTGTTAGTGAGTGTGAGAGAGTGTTAGTGAGTGTGAGAGAGGTCATGAGAGAGTGTTAGTGAGTGTGAGAGAGTGTTAGTGAGTGTGAGAGAGTGTAAGGTCATGAGAGAGTGTTAGTGAGTGTGAGAGAGTGTTAGTGAGTGTGTGAGAGAGAGAGGTCATGAAAGAGTGTTAGTGAGTGTGAGAGTGTTAGTGAGTGTGAGAGAGGGGTCATGAGAGAGTGTTAGTGAGAGTGTTAGTGAGTGCGAGAGAGTGTAAGGTCATGAGAGAGTGTTAGTGAGTGTGAGAGAGTGTTAGTGAGTGTGAGAGAGGTCATGAGAGAGTGTTAGTGAGTGTGAGAGAGTGTTAGTGAGTGTGTGAGAGAGAGAGGTCATGAGAGAGTGTTAGTGAGTGTGAGAGAGTGTTAGTGAGTGTGAGAGAGTGTTAGTGAGTGTGAGAGAGTGTTAGTGAGTGTGAGAGAGGTCATGAGAGAGTGTTAGTGAGTGTGAGAGAGTGTTAGTGAGTGTGTGAGAGAGAGGTCATGAGAGAGTGTTAGTGAGTGTGAGAGAGTGTTAGTGAGTGTTAGAATGTAAGGTCATGAGAGAGTGTTAGTGAGTGTGAGAGAGTGTTAGTGAGTGTGAGAGAGAGAGAGGTCATGAGAGAGTGTTAGTGAGTGTGAGAGTGTAAGGGCATGAGAGAGTGTAAGGGCATGAGAGAGTGTTAGTGAGTGCGAGAGAGTGTTAGTGAGTGTGAGAGTGTGTTAGTGAGTGTTAGAGTGTAAGGTCATGAGAGAGTGTTAGTGAGTGTGAGAGTGAGAGAGAGAGGTCATGAGAGAGTGTTAGTGAGTGTGAGAGTGTAAGGTCATGAGAGAGTGTTAGTGTGAGAGAGTGTTAGTGAGTGTGAGAGTGTAAGGGCATGAGAGAGTGTTAGTATGAGAGAGTGTTAGTGAGTGTGAGAGAGTGTTAGTGAGTGTGAGAGAGAGAGGGGGCATGAGAGAGTGTGAGAGAGTGTTAGTGAGTGAGAGAGAGTGAGAGAGAGAGTGTCACAATGAGGGTTTATGGAAAGGAGGTTAGTGAGAGGTTCTGAGCGTCCATGAGAGTGTTCGAGACAGAGCGAATGGAGCAGCAATAGGGGGTCAGAGTGTAATAGAGAGTAGTACTGTAGCGTGTTTAGTGGTGGTGTGTACTGGTGTTTACACTTCTATTCTTGCGTATGGCGATGTGTTCAGTAGCGAGCTGCCAGTGTGGAGATCTGCCTGCTAGCCACGACGAGAGGACTTCAAAAAGAGTTCGTGTGGCGCTGCTCTTCCTCTTCTGTTGAAGGAGCGCAGACCGCAGTGGGTTTACCGTGCGATCCATAGTTTGGGTTGCGTTGCCACAATCGCGTGACTTGTGATTTGTCGTTAATGTACCTCTGGTTCTCTATGTGTTTCTATGAGTCTGTATGTACAGGGTGCTTCAAAAGAATGTGAACATCTTATATTGGAAACTAATGGATAATATAATGTAACATGCTAACAAAATTATGTTAACAAAAGTTTGTTAATAGCTTCAAAAAGTCAAAGAGTCTCCACTTGTTCGCCATTTGTGTCAACACGTGCCTGGAATCTTCTCCAGGTGTTCTCCACAGCCTGGAGGCACATTTCTTGTGGTATAGTTACACATTCTCAGAAGTGTTAAAACATTTTTGAAGCATATTCTTGGTTCTTTTACCGAAAGAACCAAGAATATGAATCCCTGCAGTTACGAAAGCTTTAAATATAAAGTTTTGAAGCACCCTGTATTTGTGTCTCCATGGGTTTACTTTGTGGGTCCATAGTTTGGGTTTCATCGCCACAATCACACGACTGGTGGCTGGTCTGGTTTAATTTTCCATTCATCGAGGAGGCATGCGCATGGGGCCTCTTGTTGATGTTTCGATGAGGTTGATGGTTACAACCACCAGCGTCTTCGAGGAGGTGGAGGAGGAATGTAAAATCCAGGAGGTGCAATGGTTGGGTCTTATACGAGGTGTTTATTCCGGAGATGTTAAGGGACAGGGTCTCCCTGGCATTGTGAACTCGCCTGATGCTGCTCTCTCTCATTGCCGCTTTTCTGCTGCTGCTGCTACTCCCACAGGCAATGGCTGTGAGTGAAGACGGCGAAGTGCCACGGACTGGGGTCTCGCCTCCTCCCCTCGCCGCTGCCCACCAGGTAAGGAGGTCAACCCCCGACACCACAGGGTCCTCGCTGACGAGCAGCGGAGACGCCAGCACTCGGCGGGTACCAAGAGGACACCACCTGCCCATGAGGGCAACCACCTACCATGGGGCTGGGCACCGTTTTCACACTTGAATGAATAAAAACAACATTGGTGGGGCACTGATAGCTGACCGTGTAAGGTCATTATTAGACAGTTTAGTAAAACATGTAGTAAAGTCAATGTGTTGTATGTGTGTATGTTGAACTTCTTTCGCACCGTACGTAGCAAACCACACTAATCGGAGGTGCGGAGGAAGGACAACAAACTAAACACAAAAAGCAGTTCTAAAGAAATTCGTTTTCAATATAGATCATTTAAAAGTGCATAGCTTCCAGTGGCTTCCTCAAAGCGGAAGAGCATTCCAGACGGCCGCAGAAGCGCATCTGACCGGGCGCGATGCGGTGATTATCTTTCATAGATGGTTAGCCAAAATACGATTAAGTATTAATGTTTTATGCAACTCGTCACAGGTATCAACCGTGCAGCCGCTACGGGATCTGGCAGGAGAATATAAGAAGCTATGGCTTTGTGGTGGCATCCACAGCACAAGTAGCTGTTATCCTCTTTAACATGAACTCGGGTTCCTCCGCAACCACCCCAAGGAGCTGCCTCAGAAGAGCACAGCTGTCCATTAAGGTGGGAGGGGGGTCATAGGCCCCCGGCCATCCCATAGAATCGCCACGTCTGACGACTTGATTGCAAGACCTCTTCACCACAGGACCCGAATGCAATCTCTGCCCTGCTGATGAGAGCAGCTCTACCGCGTATGGTAGTCCACGGCACCGGTGAGTTCACATCCAATACCTCTGGCCTCAAATTGGTGACACTTTGTGGGAATTCAGCAGTTGTCCTGTGGGTTAAGTATTGCAGAATGTGAACAAATGGCACACATACATTACATTACCGCATGTTTTTTTGCATTTTCAGAACTTTTGTGGAATTCCACAAAATTAATTCCTCACTACCTACCCATGCCTCCAGTAATCGCTCTTCCACAATTGTTGGTGCAGCCTTTACCCGGCCCACTTTGGATCATTCCACAATTGACGAGTATTTGAACGTTTCGATTTTTTTATGGAATCGGCCATACATAAAATGCTAAATGTTTCCAATATTATGTGAAACTGGCCATCATTCTGCCAAAAACTGGTTAAACAACAACACCCAAAATATCTGCATGAATCAGGCCCAGATTGTTTTGTAGATTGTGGGTTTTAAGTACAAGCCAGCAGAGAGTGTATTGGACGTTCATCCTACACTTGCCAACTTCTTCAAATGTACTCTTTGGTTTTTTCGGTAAAGTCACGTATGTGAAAAAAATAAAATAAAAAGATATACAAAGTTCACCATTGGAACCTCCTTTGCCAGTAGCAAAATATGATAATTGTTTTTTACCCTTTTATCTGGCAACAAAACTGACACCTTTTTTTGTTCAATGCAAACATGACTCCTTGTAAAAAAAAGGTGTCAGTTTTGTTGCCAGATAAAAGGGTAAAAAAACAAGTATCATATTTTGCTACTGGCAAAGGAGGTTCCAATGGTGTAAATTCTTACCCCGAGCTCTCATACTCTGATGGTGCATTGTCTTTGAGTTGTGCGCCTTTTGGCGTCATCTGGTCCAACACCATGTGAGACTAGGCTGTAAGAAAAGCTGTCTCGGGTGTGGACCAATCAATTTCAGGACAGTGCATACATTATCAGAGTTGTGTTTTTTTTGCATTCTGACCACAGGTATTGTGGTCAATGCAAACATGACTCCTTGTAAAAAAGGTGTCAGTTTTGTTGCCAGATAAAAGGGTAAAAAAATATATATACAAAGTTTTTTCATTTTCACCTACGTGACTTTACCGAAAGAACCAAAGAGTATGGATCCTTGCGGTCACGAAAACTTCAAATTCTTGAAATGTGTCTTTTAAAATGAGCACAAGTTGAATAAGGAACCAATTCAGTCACCTGTGGTTGTTCCCCTTGGGATCATGACCCCACGAATAAGTTTCCAGATAAATCAGATGATGGGTTATGCTCTATAAGCACAACCTTGGCAGCCAATAGATTTCAAAGTTGCAAATGTTCTCCTGATGGAGGGTTTTTATCATATTTTAACCTAAATATCTTTAAAATAAGACCGCTATAGAACTAAATAATGTTGAACGTTAAATCAAGCACTGTCGTGAATTGTAAGAGAGCCTTACCATGCGTTTGTGTTATTTTGACATAAACTGCACTAATTGAATGCTTTGTTTTTATTTGTTTTATTTAACAATATCCTACCAGCTCTGCAGCAGTCGCGTTGGCCTTTCCAGTGTGAGAGCTGAAGAGATGTTGAAATCACAAGAAAGCAGAATTAAGGGTGACAACAACAACAATGGTGAGGACCGTTTAAAGTGTTCCTTTCATGTAAGAAGCAAATGCACGAAACTCTCCGGAAATAGTTTTACATTTTGGAGATGCTTTTGGCGACAGGTTGGGATTTCATGAAAGAATGAGGCTGGGCTTTGGGGCTGAGAGACACCGTTAGTGTAGGGCGGAGTTTAGTAGCCAAACCACGTGCGATAGGTTCATGTTCGAGACATCGTGCTGTTAGAAATGGGCCAGAATTATTTCACGGTCATTTTGGTTTAAATATGGCATGGAAAATAGTCCAGTAATCGCAAAGCAGGTCGTTCGTAACATGGAGGGCACAAGGGAGTGGCAAGGAAAAAAAACTAATTGACATTAAGAGTTATTGGGAAATAACAGAGCCAATCTGAGGATGTTGAAAATAAAGTCAAGTACTGCTGCTGAATGTTTAGTGACTTTTCTGAATACATTATTTGGTGCTCTTTACAATAAACTCCACTAGTTAGGATGTTTATTGTAATTAAGTTACATTTTACCTGATCTGCAGCAATTTTCACAGATGTCCAGTATTGTGGACGTATATGCCCAAAAATATGTTCTCAAATAACCCAGACTGATTCGTATATATGTACGTTTAACTTATTTCATATATATATACTTACATAAATACTTATTTCATACGCACAAATCAGTTTGAGTTATTTGAGAAAAAAAATTTGGGCATATCTACTGTTGTGTATGTACCCCCTTTTTATTTTTTTTTAATATTATTTTTTTTAAGAATTATTCTGCCAACATAGATAATATCGTTTTTTTTTTAATAGACACGGGGCCACGTGGGAACGAACACGCCCCCACACTTCCACAGAGGCCCCACACTTCCACAGATGCGCGCATACCTCATTTCAAAGGAAAGACGGCATGAAAGAGGGTAATCAAGGTCATAAACTCCCCGAATTTCACACAAGAGGAACAAGGAATGGGGGAATTGCAGGCGGGGGGTTGCAGAACCAGGAGACACGGAGGAAGAGATAATTATATTCTGAACAAAGATAAGCCGGGATATCAGATTAAATAATCACAAGAAGTCAAATAATAAGTACGGAATTAAAGTAGAAGAGGAATCAAGGGCGGAGAAGGCTCTCAAAATTAACCAAACACAACACCCATGGGAAGCGAGCAACACGGCCGCCTTTGTCTTTCCGAGAGGATCTCCACACACAGGCACCAAGCTAGGAAATGACACCCATAAAGGGGGCAATTTCTCAAAGGAAATAAACACGTCTTCGAATAAATAAGCGCATGCGCCGGGTGCTCCCACCGTGGAAACAACCGCCTTTGTCTCCCCACAACACGGACAAACACGCACGCGAAACACACGGACGGACACACACACGGACGCAGATGGTTCAGCCCACAGGAAGGTTTTATGACAGCCTTTGAACAACTCGGGAAGCCGAGTGGAAGTTTCCGATATAAACCGAAGGAAAATCCATACAACTCAGATCGACAGGGGCTCTGGCCCCCATCACAGATCTCCAGGGCTGTGGCTCCATCTCTCCTCGTCGCCGCCAACGAAGAAGCTCCTGTCATTCAGAATGACGAGGTTTGCGGAGTAGCGACGCGTAGCTACAAGCCGAGGTCTGCACCACCTGAGAAGAATCGCTACCCTGAGTCGCAGAGCTGCGAGTGAAGCCAACAAAGACGCCAACGTCCACCCTGCCACGAACGAAGCATCGCTCCTCGTCAGAGTGACGACCAGCGAACAACCCGCAGGAAAGGCGGAGATCGCTGAACGAGCGCTGACCGTGCGCCACCTTGCGCCACCGTGCGCCACCTTGCGCCACCGTGCGCCACCGTGCGCCTCCGTGCGCCACCGCGCGCCATCGAGCGACAACGAGCGACACCTTGCGCCACCGAGCGACACCGAGCGACACGAGCGACCGAGCATCTTCAAGGACAGCATCGTGCCAACTCGTCATCTAGCAGTAGAAAGAGAGAGCGCACGAGCAGCACCAAGCCCCCGGAACCATCAAGCGCCAAGCAAGCAAGTTTCTTCAAGGAACATCGTGCCAACGCCGCTCAATCCAGCAGTGGAGAGAGAGAGAGAGAGCAAAAGCCGAGCGACACGCCGAGCGAGGGAGCAGCAGGAGCTGTTCGTATCCTCCCACACCACACAAGCTAACGACACAATTAATATTACGAGAGGACAACGCACACACAGCACGCACACGAATAAGACTTTCAAAAAGTGATCTTTGCGTTTCAAAAGGGTTGCCATTTCGAGGTGGTGCGTTCAATATCAACTGATCGTGCAAAGCAGTTGCTGCCGTCGAGTTGCATGAATAAGAAATGTTTTAGTCATTTTCGTTAACTGCATAATTTCGCCAATGAAGAAGTATTTTTAGTCATTCAATTTAGTTAATTGCATAATCTTGCCCATGAATTATTGACGCATGTTTAACCTGCATGATAGAATGTCACGTGCTTGTTAGAATAAAATTGTTATCACAGAAGCATATTGAGTGTTCTTTCCAAGTCCATGCAAAACCATCTTATTCATAAGAGCTGTATCCTGCGATGAGATATGAAAATGGAGACCTAAAATATTATAACACACACTAGGATAATCGGTAAATGAATCTATGATAATCGTGTTATCCTGATTGATAACTCTGGATAAACGAAACTAAGCAAATTATCATAACTGCACACATTAACATAATCGCAAGCCTCCGCATAAATTACTACGATTATCATAATTTATGCATATAATCACACGCATTATCATAATTTATGCGTATTAATACACGCATTATCATAATTAATGCGATTTGTGCATTTTTCGGAAAATTATTAATTTTTATTATTTTCATCAAAATTTCATAATCACAACACATACAACATAATGGGTGGCGTCGTCCGGGATCTCTCGCAGACAGTGTTTTGCATGGATGATGGAATGAATCACTTCGTGTTAACCAGAATATCAGGATCGAACATTGCATGGTGATTGTGAACGGGCGGAAAACTAAAAAACGCCCTCTAAGGTTAAAACCCAGAATAGCAGGTTAAAACAGAGACAGTGGAATTAAGATAATATCGTATCAAACCAATTGCATCCTCTGATAAATGGTGTTAGAGGTACGCACTCTGAATCGGAAAATAACAGATAGCTCGAGTCAAATTGACTACACTCTGTGAGATAATTGTTTTATATGCACTCTGAAAAGAAATGTCAAAGTAACTTCCGCCATACCTAAGATGCTAGGATTAAGAATAATTTTTGAATGGGTTACGGGATACGGGGAGCTCGTATTTAAACGTACCGACCAATCTGTTACAAAGCAGTACAGTCAGAGAGACATATGGGAAGGGAGCTGTATCGATAACACGAACACACCTCGGGGGAAACTAATTGACTGGATAAAATGTAACGAAGGCGAACACGATGTAAAAACTGCAGGAAAGGCAGGACAGGACTCATTCCTTTTCACACAGGCATACAGACAGGGATTGTGGAATGAGGAAAAATTTGGAAAGGAAACGGGAGAGAAATCAGTACTCGCGACACCAGCGAAACTCACAGACGTTGATCCGCAGAATAAATATGGAAGTAACATTAAATCACACTCTTGGGTACGTGGACAGAGTCCAGGGATTGATCGCACAAAAATTATGGATATCGAACAAAAAATCCTTGACAAAGGGAAACCCTCACAATTCGAGAGAGGGAGGAAAAATGTTAAAGTAAAGTCGACAGGACATACTCCACTAAGGGCAGAGGCAAAAACTGAAGGGAAATGGCAACACGAGCGACACGGCACTGGGCGCGCACACAGAAAATGCACACCACTTAAACACAAGCGACACAGCACAGACCAAAGTGACAGATTGCCTGATGATAACTTGTTTGATGATGACGCTGTCGGCAATCAACTTTCGGAATACCTATTCACCAGTAAAACCCTTAAATTGATGGACAAGGCTCTAGTCAGAATTCCCGATTTTGACCCCCACAATAAGACTATGGATATCCACACACATATCGCAACCGTAGAAGAGGAGGCAATGATTAGAGGGCTGAGGAGACGGGATGAAAAAGCGAGTTTGTTGAAACGGACCTTACATAAAGAATCTATTCCATGGGTAAAGTCACTACCACACAAGGTTAGAAATGATTTTAAACAATTGAGCCTGGCAGTGATTCGGAAGTTTGGAGAATATTCGACACTCACTGAGGGGTTTTATGCTGTAAAATCGATGACCCAGGGCATGGACCAAGATCCACGTGACTACCTCGTCCAATTTAAAAGAGCGTATTATGCAGGCGATGTGAATCAATACCACGAAGGAGATAAAATGTTCAAAATTATGTTTTTTGAATCCTTGAGCCCAGAGATTACAGAAAGGGTGAGAATGGTTTTGAATCCAGAAACCGCATCCTTACGCCGCATAGAGAGCAAGGCGTACATGGCATGGTTGTATAGAGCTAAGAATCATAATTCGGATCCAGAACACAGGGAGAGGGATGAGGAACCCAGCCTCTCAGAGAGGAATAAAAATCACCGAGCAGTCCCACAATGCAGGACAGAGCAGAAACGCACGCACACATGGCAAAATAACCCAGAGAGAGGTTGGCACGAGAATGAGAGCGGCACAAAGCCGAACATTCAGGAGAATCGCAGGAGGGGGAGGTTCAGAATAGAACCATACCAACACCCCATGCCACGACACACACAAGATCAAAATTACCCACAAAGATGGCGAGGTAACAATCCAGGAAAAATTTGGCACCCAAATGGGAGAAATACTGGGCTAAAATGTACGAGAATCGCAGGAGGGAGAGGTTCAGAGCAGAACCATATCAACACCCCATCCCACGACACACGCAAGGTTCAAATTACGCACAGAGATGGGAAGATAACCACCTAGCGGGAAGGTGTTACACAGACCGCGGAGGTATGGATGCGAACATTCAGGAGAATCGCAGGATAGGAGGTCAAACACAATCGATCCAATTCCGAC